AAACAGAATAGAAGACAGCAAAGAGCCAGAATATATGCCTGATTTTTTATAAAAATCTGAATACAGACCTTTCAAGTACTCTCTTAGTTTTTCTTTCAATTCTGCAGATTTATTCTTGCTTCTTTCACAAACTACCTGTTAATATAATTTAGTTGTTTGTTAGTAAAGCATAAAACATCAATCTGAAATAAACTGCAATTTGTTTTCTTTTTGAGTAGTCATGTTATTGGCCTCTACCCATCTCATCCAGTACTTCTAATTCATGGTAGAACAAACCACTAAAATGCATCCACATTCATAAAATGGATACTGTAAAGAAAAGGCAGTGAATCATAAAATCTAGAACTTTTCCCCAAATAAAATCAACATAAAATATTTTTAGTATTATCAAAGATTTATATTCTAATCATGACACTAGTATCTTACTACAAGCCTTCGATATACAGTAGTTAGTAAATGTCTGAACTTGAAAAATATTGATTAGGCATAACATTTTTAGTTTTGTTGTGGACATGGAGAGACTTACTTCTGCTGGAGTTTGATCATATTTGTTTCTTGGATTTTTCACAATAGCTGGGTGTGAGGTAAGCACATTAACAACGTCCAGATTCCCAAACTTGCAGGCAAAATGCAATGGAGTATCAAATCCCTGCAGTGGGAAAAAAGGGAAAATTCACATGCATTTGGAAACATGATGAAGTCAATCCCACATCTTTTATTTTGAGACTGGGAAAAGTAAATAAATATCATGACTATCAGGGCTCTTAATAGATCTTTTCCCATCATACTGTAGAATAATGATTATTAAACCCCACAAAACTCATTAATAGCTCATTTTCCTAGAAGTGTCCCCTTCTATTCTCTGTCCTTCTCCATTACACATCCTTAACACCTCCCAGTTGTTTCCATAATAATAAGAAACTGGCAAAGACTCAAATCTTACCATTTTATCTGGTGTATTAAGGTAAAGGTCAACAATATATTGGATGCGATTTTTCAACATTATATCATTATCATCTGGATACATAAGCCGCATAAATTCAGGATTTTCCAAAGTGTCCAGTAATAACTGGCAGATACTAGGTTGATTCTCCTTGGCAGCAACATGCATGACATTGTACCTACACCCTTCCTGGAAAAAAAAAAAAAAAAAGACAAACGTTAGAATGAACTGAAATCTAAACAGCTTTATTACGCCCATGTGCTGAACTGATATAACTGTGAAAATACAAAGCTTCCCACACTGAGTCTTACATTTAGATTTTTGTTTCTTATTATTTTATTAGGAAAAGGTGTTTACAAAAGAGTACATAAACATTCAGTGCTGCAGTAAATTACATGATATTGTTGTAAAGATGTATGCATCTTTATATCCACATTATTCTTACAATTAACAACATTATTCTTGCACTCACCTATAGTCTTTTTTTAAATCTAGGGCAAAAATGTAGCCAAGAAGGTATATTAAGATATCACATAATAAAAAGGGATAGGAAGTTCAGTGTACAAAAAGAGCTGAAAAATGGGTGTACATATATAAAATTCAGTTTGCAGTAATATATTACATACACCATTTCAACAACTTCACAAAGCTGGTCTGATAAAAGTAAGTTAAGAAGATAGTTTGTTAAAGTAAGATTGTCAGTGTTTGCTAAACGGTACCTTACACGTGGATTTTAGATGCAGAAATTTCATGTTTTGAAATGTAATGGTGGTGCCCAGGTAAGCAGTGCTGTAGGAACACCTAGTTACAGCCTAGGCACTACCCTCTTTCTTAAAATGATTCTATTTTAAAAAGATTGGAATTACTTGGAGATCAATACTATATGGAGACAAGACTATTCTTTCATGACTGGACAAAACTATTCTTCCCCTTAAGAACTGCATAGTCAGCTTCTTTACTCCAGTTGTTCTAGAGCAAAGCAAACTCGCAGTTATGACAGGTGACTTACACGAGATAGACAACTGCCACATTTCACTTAGCTTTCAGCTACTATCAATAAACACTGAGGAACTTTGCACTGGTGGAAACAAGGTATCTTGAAAAAAGAATAGCGAACAACATTCCTTCCAGTTCTGAACTGAATCTCAAAGCTAAATCGCTAAACCAGAGTTTGGATTTTTCTTTTTTTTTTTTTCTTTTTTTTTTTACCTGTACAACTGTTGGATTGTCTCCTGACCCAATTAGATAGCGAGGGTTACTCCAAATAAGTTCTGAAAATGTTGCTGTATCTCCTTTCTCGACAGCTTTCCGAAGTTTAGCAGTAAGATCTTGAGTACGTGGACTTTTATAACTGTTGGCTCTCTCCTTATTAGCAGTTTCAGTCTCAGAGGAACATAAGCCATCTATCAAAACAGAAGTAACATGTTTCTAGATGTATTCTTTTCAGTGATCACTATTTTCAAACCCTGATCATGAAAATAAGCTTTTAATCTAAAATATGTATTAACTTCACATCTTTAATGTACAGAAGTAAAAAAAATTGAGGTCAATGACAAGACATTTAAAAATACTAGTAGTTAGTGACAGGGAGGAGAATATGGCTTAATCATCTTGTAACACTGTTTCAGACTTTAATAGGGACTGGTAAATTTTATAATTACCAATCTGCTTCTATGCAAACTGAAAAGTAAATTTCAAGAAGAAGAAGAATTTTCTGAATATTAAAATTGTTTTTGTAGTTATGTGACTACTGAGTCCCTTTAATCTAATAACTGGGAACACTGTAAAGTATGATCAATGTTTACCATTTTATTTCTGAACTTCCTTAACAATTAAGTACAGTTTTAGTATACTGTGCGATTTTATCAGCGTCTTATTAAACCTGAAAAACCTGAAGTCTATGAGTAAAATAGAATCCTACCAAATATAACCATAGACTACTAAGCAACATATCTACGCAGGCCACTACCAACATTCCAGCTTTATAAGAATAGCAACATTTTTAGTGAAAATTTGTGCAAACCAGAACAACAACAATTGCTTTCAAAAGTAACCAGTTTATTTATCATAACATAGACCACAGAAACCATACAGTGAAGGCCAAACCTTATGCTTTAAAACACAGAAAGTAGTCCTTCCATAGATTCCTGGGGCTCTAAATTACTTCTATAGTAGTTCCTTTACAAAAGAAATGGCAGGATTCCAACATACTCCTTTTTTTTTTACTTCTGTACACAAACTTTGGTGCTCCTTTCTTGGAAAAGCATCAATTAACTTTAAGAATGACTTCTCCAGTGACAGTATCATTTCATACAGAAGTAAAACTAGATTTGAATTAAAAAATTGAAATATGCTTTTTATTGCATGTTCCTAATAGATTTAACAGAAAAGAATTTAATTAAATACTGGTTGTCATATCTATTTAATACAGTAATTTTATTTAGTAAGCTCTGAAGCTGTGATCTAACATTTGTTTACAGCTTATCTGAAACACCACCACTCTAAAGGGATTTCTATTTATTAAGATGCTTCACCCTTTGAAATTTTTTCTGTTATTAGTATATTGGTTTTGAAGTTGTTGCTTCTCATAAAAATTAACAGACTGTATATTGCATCTACTGTACACAGATGAATACCACTTACCTCTGTTAAACGATCCCATTTTCACTGGAGACAAACATAAAGAGGACTTGCTTGGAGATGGGAAATAATCACAGATTCCTTTAGCAAATTTCTCAGCATCCTCTCTGTTTGAAAAAGCTTTAAAACGAGAACCCTTAATCATCTTAACAGCTTGGAGGGCTTCCTTTTTATCTTCATAAACATGTATTTTCTCTGAAACAAAGTACAATCAAAGTTAAGTTATTCCAATAATCTCAGATTTGTTCCTAGAAACAGATTACAAAAGCCTCAGACTATTCTTCCAGCTTTCATCTCAAACTGTTTCTCTATCAAACATGGCATAAGAATCAAAAGTCCTTTTTTCTCTCTTGGAATCTGAGTTGAAGCATTTTATGCACTCCAGCTAATATGAGGTGATATGTGTACAGTGTTTGGCCATTCATATCAAACAGTATTTGTACATCTCTTTCAATAGATGGGCCAGCTTCAACAAATGAGTATTTCACATCCAGACTGAAAAGCAAACTTGGAGCTTATTCACCCTGCGTTACTTTCCATGTTCTGTTGTTCAGAAAGATCAACTATGTTAGTGATCCACTGCCACAACTTTAAGACCTCTACACAGAACCTTACATATTAATCAAATCCTCCTCCTTCCTCTCCTTTTGCATTAATTTGTTAAAATTAAGAAATCTGAATATGCCTTTTATGAGAAAGAGTACTTATTACCATCTCAGAGTAAACGATCCTTTGTGCACTACTGTAACCCTACCGCTAGGTAATTTAATAATTCCTTATTGCAGTATTCATCAATAAAAAGTGAAGAATGACCAATGCTTCTAGATACCTTTTGTCATTACGATAGAAAGGAAAATCTGAAATCTGTTAGAAGAGATCATTTAAGCATCAACTGATGACTATAAATAGTTTTTTGATTGTCTATTTGTAGGACTACTTTTTTTATTCTTCAGAGGGATTGAAGGCACAGGATGGGTATGAGCAGTAGTGGGAAATAATTTTCGTCATCTGAGCTACATCTCGTAGAGGATCCTCATGTATACGGACCATTATGGCAGAACAGCTGGGATGCCTTAGAATTCTGTTTCCATGCCTCAGAAGATCCAAAATTTACAGAATCAAAAAAATACTTCAAGCAATGCTTAAAATACTAATACAGTGGTGTTCGTATCACCTGCTATGTAGAAAAAGGTCTGGTTAGACATGATTGTAAATTGGAAAAATAAATAAAAAAAAATTGGAAATAAAGGAAATGCATATTTACCATTCCTTGCCAATATGTCGTCGTAAACTGGACAAACACCATAGAACAGTGGAGGATCTCTGGAGGGTGTCTGAGTACTAATTTGTGAATCAACACATCCTGCTCCGCAGACTGGAGCTGAACAGTTCATATGCATCACAGCATCTTCTTCTGGAGGGTTCAGACCTATGCAGTACCCAAAGTCTGCCTCTTCAGAAACACTTCCATGACCGTTGTGATTCACTGCTGTAGTTTTCAAAGCCTTTTGTGCTTCTGGTCGGCAGCTATCCGATGGGACATTTCCAGCAGCCTCCTCTGACAGAGCAGATCCTTTTTCCTCCAACACTCCTTGCTGCTCCAACAATGCCTGAGCCAATTTTTTTTCAAAAATAAACCTAGTAGTCGAGGTAATGGGCCCACATTTCAGTCCTGCTCTTACAATTTCTTCTCTAAGCTCATCAGGGGACAGCTGCTTCAATCGGGATAATATTGCATCCATTGTTATTCCACCTATAGGAAAGGCAAAAAAGAGGAGATAAACTGTAAAGAATGCCACAACTTTTTTTCTACTATTTAAATACTCTATTAAAACCAAGAAAAGAAGTGCCTCATAACATTTTTTTCTGATTCTGAAGGGATTATCGCAGTTGCCGAGAAGATAAAATACTTTTCAGCTCAACACCTTAAAAACACTTTTAAGCTATGAGACTTATACCACGAGCTTACTTCCTATCCTTTCACAACTACTTGAAAGAGTATTTACGGCTTACATTTTATTCTTGTTTGTCCTTTTCAAATTTCATGAAGACTTTTGGAGTGAAAATTCAATCCAGAATATTTATGCATGAAAACTTATGACAGGCTGAGAAGTAAATATTTGATTCCTGCCAAGAAAGGAACAATCTGCGTATGTAATACAAGAAGATGATGACTAGTTAGCCCCAGTAAGAGATTCTGGTTATGCAGCACCTACAGCTAAAAGCACAGTACTATTTCTGTTATTTCCCTAAGAATTTCTAGTTCAAAAAAGTAAGTAAGTATGTAGTAGTAGTAGTAAGGCGTAAGTATGATGCAGCAACCAGGGGAGTGTATCTCTGGCCATGAGGCAAGGCTGGAACTATTTACACAACATGCTGTTTCCCAGCCCCTGTTTTGAGAGCAAACAGCCAGAAGACAAGAACAGCTGATCTTTTCAGATTTCCCTCTCTGACAAAGAACGGGAGCTGAAACAATTTCTCCATTTCCATAGGAAAATCCTTCTCTCACAAGGGGATTGGAACTAGATGATCTTTAAGGTCCCTTCCAACCCAAACCATTCTATGATTCTATACTGAAGTCCCCCAGCTCACTTCCCTCCATGTAATTCACACACTTACAGTTTCTGCACTGATCAGCAAGAAGATACTGAAAACAACAAGATGCCAATACAAATTTCTTGCTGTGAAAAACACAACTGAAAAATATAGGACTCGTGCAGCTTAAGTACATAAGAAACTTGAAAATTATTTCATCAGATACCACATTGATATATGTCCAGAAAAACTATGACTTTTTCCTGCTGTACGCCATTTAGAAAGGACAGAAATTATTAGGTTGTCATATTCCTTCAGCTTGCTTTCACTCCCCTCCTTAAACTGACCTTTCCTTCGCCGCCTAGCCATTTTATGGGTTATACGGGTTTGGATAGGCGTGTATAGCATTTTAGTTCTTTATTTTCAATTCCAAGTTTGATCCTCAGTTTATGAAACTTAAGACTACCGGAAGACACATCTGCAGCTTTTCCACATGAATTCGTTTCTATTTTTTCAATCATGCCATACTTGTAATACCACAACTCCTAATGTTACTGCATTTGTTTTGTCCAGAGACAAAACAATCTCCCAGGTATGAAGTCAGTATCACCTGTAATTTTAAGTTGTATCTCCTCAAAAGAGCATTTGTGGATGCATGTGGCAATACAAGGAATGCCCACAATTTATCAGCTCTCCTGCTTCACGAACAGCATGTGCAATCAGTCCTTAATGTGAGTCACAACATCCACTCTGATGGGCAAGAGCCCTTTTGTCTGGGAAATTAATGTGAAGCTTGACTTGAACAGTAAGTGGCTGCCGTAACATAGCAGGGATGCATAAATACTGGATCCTAATAAGTTAATTATTCATTTTGTCACAGTGTACAAACTGAGATGTAACTCCAAAATTGCATCTTCCTCGTAGAATTGCAGTATAAACTCCCTTATTTTTCCACATGTATTGCCAATAGCACCATCACAAAATACACCAACAAAACAGACATGATGATTTTGCTTTTTAAATTACCCAAGGATTAAGCTGGTAAAGAAGTAACTTTTCATATATCAAAAAAACCCAAACGCACATAGCTTTTTTTATAACTTTTAGTCAATATAGCCACATTTTAGTCAATATAGCCACATAAAATTTTCACTGCAATCTGACTTCAAAACTATTACATTTCTATTCCAGGAAATATTATGGAAAAACATGTTAATGCCAACAACTTGACAGTTACATGAGCTTGAGGGTTGTTTTCTTTGCATGCCATTTCCTTTGAGAGTTGTTTCTTTTTTTGAATGTCTGATTTTAAACATCTTGTGGTTAGAGAACATACCTCAGTCCCAGAATATTTCACTAATATTAACTGGAACCTCACCGAAATGATGGGAAATGAGAGTATTTCAGCTTTAAAAACAAAACAAAAATCAACAAAATGTGGCAAAGCCACAGTTGATGCCACTGAGCTATCTCCCCAAAGTATTCCAGTTCCCTTATGATTCCCGAACCTCCAAGCAACCTCATTGCTACGATTATCTAACTTGCCCACAAGACTGCAAAGACCAACGTGAAAGATATTCTCACTTGGTTTTGATTCTTAATCCTCTTTTTTTTAATAAATTTGATACCATTGTATTTTAATCAAGGGATAAAACGTGGTCCTGATGCCACTCATAAGAATACTTAAAGCTTGCTATCTGAAAGATTTGCTTTTTGAGATTGCGTAACTGAAAATACACGATAAAGATGAAAACTCAGAGGCAAGAAAGTTTATTGCAGAAACAGCTCAATGAAAACACTTTTACAGATTCAATATAATTCCTTAAAGAATTAATTCAGGAAATGTTCCTATTTTTAGGGTTCAGAACTAGCACAATCATTCTGCAGAAGAACAGACCCTAACATATGTATAACTCACGTACACAGAGTATGCAGGCACACATGAAAAAAATCTTTCTTTCTTGGCTTGTGGTCAAGTAAAAAAATGTTGGGAAGGAGTGATGCCTCTGGTATCTCATGTTTTGATAGAACTTGGTGCCTAAGATTTTCTTCCTCAGCTATGTAAGAAAAAGTATTTATTTAACATGTCCATTACAATTCAGGCACAACTAAGAGAATAAAATGACAAAGCAGACCACCAGTGGTGAAATCAATCTTCGGTTTAAGATCTACTGTCAGAACAATAAGCTAGCTATAGAAACAGGAAAAACATTTTTGGAATGACAACATAGAACATTAATGAAATATGTTTGGGTTCTGACACTAAGCTTTCAGCTAACATGAGTAAGTGTTTATTAATTTTTAACTGCATCACCTATTTTGATCTGTCCAAAACAAAAGGTGTGACTTGCAAATCTGAGAAACTGCCTGGTTTAAGATGATAATTTGATCATTTGCTACAAACAGGTGCAAGAGGTGATTATTTGAACCTTAAAATGCATTTTATGTAATTTCTAATGATCCAGTGTACAGCCACCACTGTCGCAGCTACCTTTTGTAGTTCAGCACACAAGGTCTTGCAAATTACCTTTGAGGGCTTTACAAATATAACTAACTGCTTTATCAACAAATATGTGTTTGATCATTCTTCCAAATCAACCAAAATCCAGAAGAATGGGTAAGAGTTGTATTTTCCCTTGGTTTACTGCATCAGTATGAAACAACAGAATCTGTTTCCAAAAAAAATCAAGACTAATACCAAGAGAATATGAATGATTGACTTTTAGGGATAGCAATATTATTTTGTTCCACTGCTCATTGAATTCTTCAGTAAACAAGCAATATAAGAAAACATTTTTTTTTTCAGGCAGGAATTAAATGAGACATGTCCTGTCTTTAGCTATATTTTGACAGCCAGGATTTGCACGTGGCAGAATAATTGTGGCTATTTAATCAGGTATTTCATCTATACCGCCTGTTGCCAAATTAGCTAACAGTTACGAATTACGTGGCAGAAATAGCACTGCAAAACAAACTTAGAATAAGCTATGGGAAAGCCAAGGTTAAAAACCAAAAGAAAAAAAATAAAGGACGACTTCTCAGGAAGGAGATACGAGCATGTTTCCAGAGCTAGCGAGGGAAGGCAGGCTCGGTGAGGGAGAGAATTCAGAGAAGCACAAGCAGGGACGCGTTGGAAGGGTGGAGCAGACAGCAGCCGACCCTCT